GTATACCACAGAAACCTCTCTGCTACTCTCCTTCCTGAGCACCAGTGGATTTCCAGATCCTTTAAGAAACAGCAATCATCTCCCCTCTTCCCAGTTGATACAGGCATTAATGCTGTTGCTTTTTCAGATAAATCACACATTCCTTTTTTCCTCTTGGCAAACTGACTTTATAAAAATGTCCTCAAAGTCACCAAATCTCACCTGGGATAGGTACCTTAAAGAGAAGGGCAAGCAGCCCTTCATACAGGTGTGGCACTGGAGAAGAAATGAGACAAGATGAAACTGTATCTCTATGAAACACAAGGGCACTGTACACAAGTGAAAGCAGAACTCTTCCTAGTCCGTAACTTTCCCTGATGATGTGTTTGTTGCACTCAATCCTAGATCCTCTCCTTTAACAAAGCCAAGCATCAGCTTTGGAAGGAGAGGCCCAAGGACAGGAGAGTTTTATGCCAAATAAAGAATCTTACTCAGTTCATAGCCTCAGCCTCAGCAGAAGATTTGAGAGTTTCCAGAGCACCCAAACACTTAGTTGAGGATCACCGAAGAAACAAGCAGGAAGAGCATCCAGCGACCCTGTCCAGTGCCCAGATGAGAAGGTGACAGGGCAACTCAGATGGAATCATAGTTGATCAGAGTTAAATAAAAAAGGCCCTTGCTCATGATGAATGGGCTGCAAGAAGCCACTGGACAGATAAAACAGTTGTCCCAGTTCCTGGTCCAAGCACTAGTCCTTCCCTTAATCTTGGTCACGTCCCATTTTGCCCGTCAGTCTCCGGCGCTGAGTCTTAGTGGTTCGCCCTGTGCTGGACTTCTGGATTTTCTTGCGTGGGCCTTGCCCGCGTTGGGGTCGCTTTCCTTTCGTCTTTTTCCGGCTGTGCATGTGCAGTGAGGCAGTAAGGGAGGAGATCCTGTGCGGGGCAGAAAGAAAGAAATGCCTGAGGACCAAAACCTGTAGGAGCAAGGTGACACAAAATAACAGCAGGACAGCCCTGCTCGGCAAAGTAGAAATGGATGTTGGCACCTGCAAACCCCACCGTGTTGAGCATTACCCTAACAAGAAAAAAAACTTCTAAGTCTACATTATGAAGCAACAGCCAAATGCAGCCTTTGAGCAACAGGCAGTCCAGAGACCACAGAGTTAAATAATCATACTGCCAAAGCAGCTGCAAGCACTGGGTACTGAAAAATGTGGGGAATGCAAGAGCTTTAAGCGTCTTTTTGCCTACATCTCAGAGATGCCTACATCTCAGAGGATCACTGCACCCTGCAATATCCATCCAGCAGGATGACTGAGCTCATAATTCAGCGCAAAGCCTGACTGCATTGCAGCAGCATCTTCCTGCTGCTGTCACCAGAAATCAATACAACAGGAAGCCTGGCAGCTAGCTGGGACTCCAGGCTGGGAATGAAGCATCCCAGGCCGCCTCACGCTCTGCAAGTGCCCTCTGCTGGCTCCTATCCGCAGGCAACCCGGCAGCACAGCATCCTCTCCCTGTATCCACCTCTCCCGGGTCCCACACGGCTGCTCTGGGAATGCAGGCTGAGCAAGGTGCTTCTCAACAGCTTGCAAATCCCAGCAGCAAAGTGTTAAACAAGTTAATACATACTTTTCAGACAGGAAGGGGTTTCTGGACTTTTTGGGAACCG